CTTTCTCTCTGGTAAACACACATGCCCTATAGCAAATTGGAAAAAGAAAAAAAATGATGATAGTAAATAATACTAAATAGATCATTTTTACACAAAAATTAAAAATAAAACAGTAATTAAAAACTCTACACTTAAAAAAAATACCATCCTATACCCTACAAAGATGTGTAATGATTATATGCAAATCATAAATTACAATAAATATTTAAAGCACGAAAAAGTACCTATTATTGAAACTTAGAAACTATAGATGAAAAATCCATTTATATTGGAAATTTTGAGCCTAAAGCATCGAGTGAGCTTGAGTTTCAGTCATTTATTCAAAACAACCAACCTTTCTCTAGATTAGCGCTGCCAATAGTTTTCTGTGACGGTGGAATTGGCCGGTGTCCACACCGCCTGTGGTAACCACGGCCGCACGTATCTGCTGAGCACTTCAAATGTGACTAGTACAGCTGAGAAATTCCAGTTTTAGTTAATTTACTACTTTTTTTGAGAGGTTTTTGCTATAGGGCGCATGCATTTGCCAGAAAGACAGAGAGAGACAGAGAGACAGAGAGACAGAAAGCGAGAAATCACCCCCAGGGGGATGGCCACGCCGCAATCCCTTCTCCTCCATTCTTCTCTCAGGATCCTGGGCACGCACGCACACGCGCCTGGCATGAGTTTAAGCCTCTGAGTTCAGGACTCAAACTGTGGTCAACTACATGAGAGTCCAGGGACACAACCATTACACCAATTACTGGTCCCAATTTACCATTTTTTTTTTTTAGAGGAGATTTTTGCTATAAGGTGCATGTGCTCTCCAGACAGACAGAGAGACAGAGAGAAAGTGAGAAATCACCCTCAGGGGGATGGCCACACCACAATTCCTTCCCCTTCAATCTCCTCTCGGGATCTTGGGTACACATGCACACATGCCTGGTGTGAGTTTTAAGCCTCAGGGTCTGGGACTCGAACCTTGGTTAACTACGTGGGAGTCCAGTGACGTAACCATTATGCCAT